TTTGTAGAACCACCTTTCACTGCAATTACAGCTGCAAGTCTTTTTGGGTATGTCTCTACCAGCTTTGCTCGTCTAGAGCGTGAAGAAGAATGGGCACAAATTTCACTGTGCGGATAGAGTGTTCAGGGTGATGTGCAGTGTTAGTTTGCAGCCACACACAACGTTTTGCTTTTAGGAAAAAAAGTTCAGTTTTTGTCTCATCTGACCAGAGCACCTTCTTCCACATTTGTTGTGTCCCCCACATGGCTTCTCGCAAACTGCAAACAGGACTTCTTATGGCTTTTTCAACAATTCTTCTTGCCACTCTTCCGTAAAGGTCAGATTTGTGGAGTGCGCGACTAATAGTTGTCCTGTGGACTAATTCTCCCACTTGAACTGTGGATCTCTGCAGCTCCTCCAGAGTAACCATGGGCCTCTTGGCTGCTTCTCTGATGAATGCTTTCCTTGTCCAGCCTGTCAGTTTGGGTGGACGGCCATGTCTTGGTAGGTTTGCAGTTGTGCCATACTCTTTCCATTTTCGGATAATGGATTGAACAGTGCTCTGTGAGTTGTTCAAAGCTTGAAATATTTTTTTTCATAACCTAACCTTGCTTTAAACTTCTCCGCAACTTTATCCCTGACCTGTCTGGTGTATTCCTTGGCCTTCATGATGCTGTTTGTTCACTAATGTTCTCTAACAAACCTCTGAGATCTTCACAGAACAGCTGTATTTATACTGAGATTAAATTACACACAGGTGGACCCTATTTATTAACCACTTGCCCTCCAGAAAAAAAATTTAAAATCAAATTTTGTCATAAATTTAGGCCAAAATGTATTCTGCTACATGTCATTGGTAAAAAAAAAAAAATACCAATACGTGTAAATTAATTGGTTTACGTGAAAGTTGTAGCGTTTACAAATGGTGGTATATATACTGGGATTTTTTTTTTTTTTTTACTAGTAATGGCAGCGAACTTATAGTGGGACTGCGGCTAGCATTCTGACACTGGGAGGAACTGACTTGATGTCACTGACATCCCAGTGACACCAATACAGTGATCAGTGCTAATAAAAAGCACTGACACTGTACTAATGGCACTGGGCATGACGGGGTTAACATCTGGGGCAATCAAAGGGTTAACTGTGTGCTGTTTCACTATAGGGGCTGTGTGTGTGCTTCACTGTAAGCACACTGCTTTCTATGGCTCTGCTATGTGGATACATACAAAGCAGTGTGCGGGAGCTGACGGGAGAGATCTGTATTGTTTACATACAGGTCTCTGCCCCGTCGGAGATACTTGGCGATTACCGGGTGCTGGCGAGTGATCACCGGCCGGGACCTGATGATTGACAGCCGAGGCCGCAAATGGCGGTGCAGTATTTCTGCTATATGGCGCTGCAAAACGGGTTAATTAGGTGACTTCTGAAGGCAATTGGTTTCACTAGATTTTAGTTATGGGTATCAGAGTAAATTTGGCTGGATACTAATGCACGCCACACTTTTCAGATATTTATTTGTAAAAAATGTTGAAAACCATTTATCCCTACCAGTTACCTACCATAACAGTTCCTCTACCTGTATTGGTGTCACTGGGGATGGTGGCGGTGTGTGGATGTCAGTAACAGTCAGTCCCCCCCCCCCCCCCCCCCCCCCCCCCCCCCTCCCCCCCCCCACCTCCCCCCCCCCCCCTCCCCCCTCCCCCCCTCCCCCCCCCCCCCCCCCCGTGTCAGAATGCCCGCCGAAGTCCTATATGTATACTGCCATAGTCATATATACTGCCATTTGCAGATGCTATAACTTTCACGTAAACCAATTAATTTACACGTATTGGGATTTTTTTTTTTAGCAAAGACATGTAGCAGAATACATTTTGGCTTACATTTTATGACAAAATTTAATTTTTAAAATTTTTAATAGCAAAAAGTCAAAAATATTGTGTTTTTCTCAAAATTGTTGGTCTTTTTTTATTTTTATAGCACCAAAAATAAAATATGCACAGATGATCAAATAACACAGAAAGAAAGCTTAATTTGTTGCATGACCACACAATTGTCAGTTAAAAAAAACGCAGCGCCATAACGCAAAAGATTGCGTCATCAGGAAGGCGGGTAAATCCTGTGGAGGGCAAGTGGTTAAATACCACAAAAAGAAAGCTCTATATGTGTGAAAAAAAATTTCATATGGGTACAATGTTGCATGACTGCGCAATTGTTATTCAAAGTGCGACAGTGCTGAAAGCTGAAAATTGGCCTGGGCACGAAGGGGGTAAAAGTGCCCGGTAGGCAAGTGGTTAAAGAAGAAGTTTGCCATTTGAACATAAATAATAAAAGACAGGTAAAAAAAATGTGCATTTATTTTTGCTTGCAGGAGCCTGTGAACCATTGCACTAGTGATCAGAACATCACTGGTACCATGCAGGTCTCTTGCAGATCTGTCAGTGTATCTGTGAATGACGTGACCATGTGAACGGAGCCTAGCACGGCTGTGCTGTATTCAAAAAGTGACAGCTTGTACGGGGTATTTCTCCCCCTGGACTTCTGTCATGGGGGGGGGGGATCGGGGGGAATTGGGCAGCGGCTGCAGCATTGGGAACTTGTTACATGGTCCACCCGAAAAGCAGGTTGAACGTAACTTTCCCAAAGGTGAACTTTTCTTTTAACAGAAAAAACAGTTGATGCCTGGAAAGGACTTCCAGTAGGGGTAATGAGTCAGTCAACAGTAAGTTGATTTAAACATGATTGAGGCAAACCGATCTATACTCAGACAAAAAAGTTTTTGTTTTTCACATAATGGCAAAATAAATCTGTCATGAGGAAAATATTGACAATGCCATTTCAATTGCTAGTTTTTTGACTGTATCACTTAGAGCTGATTCACACATATGTGGAGCGGATTGAAGCTCCGGTTCCACAGCTAATTGATACAGTAGCTGTTCATGTCAGGTTTACATCAAGTTCAGGACGAGATTGGCTCAGGAAAATTGGACATGACTCTTTTTAAAACCGCACTGAATCCTCACCACCAGTGCACCGGACATATGTGAACAGGCACCATAGGAAGTAATGTGTTTCCACATGTCATGCGGATTGGATGTGGTTCAAACCACATCCCCATCTGCATATACAGTTGTGTTCAAAATAATAGCAGTGTGTTGAAAAAGTGAATAAAGCTCAAAATCCTTCTAATAGCTTATATTTCCATACACACAAATGCATTGGGAACACTACACATTCTATTCCAAATCAAAACGTGAAGAAAAATACATCAAATTTGTGTTGCTCCTCTAAAAAAAAAAATTGAATAAAAGTGAATATTAGACTGTTCAAAAAAATAGCAGTGTTTGTATTCTTCTTTAAAAACTCAAACATTCACTATATAAACTGAAAAATGTTTGAAGATTTTGCTTTCCTCTGAATCACTTAATTAATATTTAGTTGTATAAGCACTGTTTCTGAGAACTGCTGTACATCTGTGTTGCATAGGGTCAACCAACTTCTGGCACCTGTGAACAGGTATTCCAGCTCAGGATGATTGGACTACATTCCACAGTTCTTCTCTATTTCTTGGTTTTGCCTCAGAAACTACATTTTTGATGTCACCCCACAAGTTTTCTATTGGATTAAGATCCGGGGATTGGGCTGGCCACTCCATAACGTCAATCTTGTTGGTCTGGAACCAAGATGTTGCACGTTTACTGGTGTGTTTGGGGTCGTTGTCTTGTTGGAACACCCATTTCAAGGGCATTTCCTCTTCAGCATAAGGCAGCATGACCTCTTCAAGTATTCTGATGTATTCAAACTGATCCATGATCCCTGGTATGCGATAAATAGGCCCAACACCGTAGTATGAGAAACATCCCCATATCATGATGCTTGCGCAACCATGCTTCACTGTCTTCACAGTGTACTGTGGCTTGAATTCAGTGTTTGGGGGTCGTCTGACAAACTGTCTCCGGCCACTAGACCCAAAAAGAACAATCTTACTTTCATCAGTCCACAAAATATTGCGCCATTTCTCTTTAGGCCAGTCAATGTGCTCTTTGGCAAATTGTAACCTCTTCAGCACGTCTTTTTTTCAACAGTGGGACTTTGCGGGGGCTTCTTGCAGATAGCTTGGCTTCACATAGGCGTCTTCTAATTGTAACAGTGCTCACAGGTAACTTTAGACCTTCTTTGATCTTCCTGGAGCTGATTGTTGGCTGAGTCCTTGCCATTTTGGCTATTCTTCTATCCATTCGAACGGTAGTTTTTCGCTTTCTTCCACGTTGCCATTTTTTGCCATTTTAAAGCATTTGCGATTATTTTAGCGGAGCAGCCTACCATTTTCTGCACTTCTTTATATGTTTTTCCCCTCTCCAATCAACTTTTTAATCAAGGTACGCTGTTCTTCTGAACAATGTCTGGAACGACCCATTTTCCTCAGAATTTCAGAGAGAAATGCACTGCAACCAGCATGTACAACATTTGCTGCCTTCCTTCCTTAAATAAGGGCAATAATTGCCACCTGTTTTTCAAAGAATGAATGACCTCACTAATAGAACTCCACACTGCTATTATTTTGAACATGCCCCTTTCAATTAGTGATTCAATTATACAGAATCAGCAGCATGCATGTCATGAGTAAATTATTTGGCATGTAGAAATATCATTTCTACCAAAAACAGTGATTGATCAGGTTAGTGATGTATGACTGCTATTATTTTGAACACAACTGTATGTGAACCAGCACTCAGTCACTGACCCACAACAAGTATGCAGTAAATGAAAGTCATAGAAAATTAATGTGTTTTATTAACATAGTTGTGCTCGGTCATTGGCTTAGAGTGTTAAAATCTATGAATCGGCATGTCACTTGAGGGTGTTCTTAAGCAGAGCTAAGTATTGCAAAATGTATTTCCTAATTGTACATTTCAGCAGACATTTTACTGACCTAACTTAAATTTTAAACTTGCATGTCTAATTTTAATAGGAATATTTTTTGGAACAATGATCAAAGTTTTATTATTTTTATTTTAAAGGTAGCGACGGGATGTTTCCAGTGAAAAAGTCTCTCTCATTTGTCAATCTTGACATTCACAAGGAAAACTCAAAGCTGAATCACATAACATCAGGTCAAAGACAAACTAACTCACTGGTATGCTATATTTCATATTTTGGGTTACCCTGCATAATTTTTTTACTTATGAAATTAAAGAATGCTTACAGTACACTTCATATTGATTTGCATTGCAGGACATATATGCATTCTTGCAGTGCTAGCTGAAAAGTTTGCATACTTTTTTGATAGAACTGTTGTTGATCCAGAATGCTATTCTTTGTCCAGATAAAATGGCTGAATGTGATGTCTTTTAATGGCTACCTGCAGTAGAAGTCGTAGCAACATTTTCTCAGAACAACCTTTATTCACTAAAGGAAGTATCTTTCAGCTGAGTAAAAAGCAGAGAAAGAGAACTTGCACCTGTTGTCTTGTTACTTCTGTAGTTCTTACAAAAAGTACTATTTACCATCTGTTTTACAGCTGGCAGTACACCACATTTTAACAATTGTTGAAGAAACACCCCCACAGGAATGAGTTGCAAATATTTTGGGGACATTTGGAATGAAATGCAATACCTGACTGCAAACATTTTTTCAGTCTTTCTATAACATAGCAAATCATCTTCTTTTTGAATAGACCTGTCCATGCTGTTTATTTTTCACTTTCCCATGACCTTTGTGGGAGAATCCCTCATCCAACCCTAGTACATTCTAATGCATTCTTCAAGTATATAGAAAAAAGTTGGCCAATGACAGATTAATTCAGATCCCTGAGGAAAGTGTTGGTTTTGGTGGTGGTTGGTCTCATGAAGAGGTTTATGTAACGCTAGATGGTGAGAAGCTTGTCTATCCTTATTCTAATTCTGGGGCCTCCATCTCCATGTCACTGACTCAGCAGATAAAACACACAGCCATGGTGAATGGTTTGTTATACTTGTTTAACAAAAGGGAACTGTTGCAGAGCTGCATGTAAATATGAACACTTTTGATGCTTACATCTCTGTTGTCACTTGCAAGTTCTGTATATCTCAATCTGGATGCTTGAAGTTGCTTTGCTTGCTTTTGTTGAGTCAGATGCCTGTTTTTGTTTCAAATTTACCTATTTGCGTTCTCTTTAACAGGGTGCATTTGGGGATGAATCTGTTATTCGTCGCAGAAAAGAATTTGCTAGCCTTGATTATCCAAGTGGGTGGCTGTGTATATTTTTAAAACCTTTTTTTACCATTTGTTTTATCCATATATGTACATTTTTATACCTTTTGTAACTTCAAGTTGCATTTAACTTTAAAAATAGGGTCAGTGATGTAATGGATGGAAAGATCTGGGGCATTGCAAACCATTTGTGATTACAATATTAGTGAATAGATTCTAGTGAGCTTACCCATGGGTAAAGGGGGAAACATCCAAATGGCTTAGTACAATCCTTTAAAACAAGTTGTGTATTTTAGCATGCCCTTTTTTGCTTTATCCTTGTGTATTTTATTTCTTATTGTATAGCAAAGGCAAAGTTCTGGTTTACTGCTTTGTCCTCCACTCCCCATTAAGGATTGGCACCTTTAGGGAGCGGGTACACGAATTTGACAGGTACCCGCTCCCACTTCCGCTGCGATCGCCTAGGTGACCAGAAGCAGAAGTTGTACTTGCTCCCTCCCTCCCTGTAGTCTTCTGGGACACGTGACAAGTCACAGAAGACTACGCTACGGGGCCATTCACAAAGCGCAGCGCTTCTCACGCAGGCACAGTGGGCACCCAGCTGTGAAGCTGCAAGCTGCCACAGCCAGGTGCCCACACTAAAGATGCCGGCGCTAGGGAGAGAAGACTGCTGGTGAAACCAGCGGTGGTGAGGACACTGTTGGACTGAGGGACAGGTAAGTGGCTGTATTTTAAAAGTCAGCAGCTACAGTTTCTTTTTTTTTTTTTCAGCTGGAACTCTGCTCTGATCAACATTAAAAACAATCATGCAATTTCTTTCTAAAAGTAGTTGTAAAGGCATAAGTTTTTTTGTTTTTTTTTCTTATTTTACCTTAATGTATTTTCTGCATTAAGGTAAAAAAGACTTCCATGTTCAACAACTACAGTTAGTTCCCCCCCAGTGTCAGAATGCCCGCCGTATTCCTATACAGTATATACTGCCTTAGTCATGTATACTAAACGCTATAACTTTCACAAAAACCAAATAATTTACATGTACTTGGATTTTTTTTTAGCTAAGACATGTAGCAAAATAAATTTTGGCCTAAATTTATGACGAAATTTGATTTTTAAACTTTTTTTTTCACCGGACAGGTTTAATAGCAAAAAGACAAAAATATAGTTTTTTTCCCCTCAAAATTGTCACTTTTTTTGTTAATAGCGCAATAAAATTAAAAACGCGGAGCTGATCAAATACCAACGAAAGAAAGCTCAGTTTGTGGCGATAAAAGGAAATAAATTTCATTTGGGTTCAGTTTGGCATGACCGCGCAATTGTCATTTAAAGTAGCATAGCACCCTATTGCAGACAATGGCCTTGTCAGGAAAGGGGGGGGGGGGGGTGGTAAATCCTTTGGAGGGCAAGTGGTTAATGTAATTGTCAATAAAAGCCTTTGACACTTACTTCAGTATACCTTAGTAACATCTGACAAAAAGATCTAAAAACACTGAAACAGCAGACTTTGTGAAAATTTATATTTTTAGTCATTCTCAGAACTTTTGGCAAGGGCTGTACAGCAGCACAGTATATCTGCTGTTGTACAGCGGCATAAATGAAGTGTCACTTTTCTGCACTTCAAATAAAGTTCCTTCAATAAAAAAAATTAAAAAAGAAAAGAAAGAGCTGTGTGATGTGACAAATCATGCTACACACTACCCCCTACTGCAAGTGGAACTGACAGCTGCCGACAGTTAAACCTCTGCTGTTTAATTTTCCAGCAGCTGACTGTTCAGTGTGAACGTTGCTTTAGACAAAGGGTTTTCTTTCTCATCTTGATGATATTTTGACAGATATATATATATGTTTTGTTGACAATACTATGTTCATTACTGTTTACATTTTTTTCTTTTATATTACTCTGCTGGGTAAATTTTTTCTCTTATAGGTTTAGCGCTGAGGTTTCCATTACATATGAAGCGAACTGATAGCTCATCTTCACTGACAGAAAAAGAGCACATTCAATCACTAGATCTGTCTGCAAATGACCTGGAAAACATAGACCTAATAAATAAAAAGTCTCTTCTTGCAAATCATTTAGAACGCCTTGAGAAAATTGAGCTTCAGCAGAACAGATTAACGTCTTTACCAAAGTCTCTTTGTGAGGTAAGGAAATGTGGTTCAAAACAAGAAGTAATTCCTTATTATCAGCAAATCATCATTTCTTTCTTGTCCATAGAGGGACACAGGAATTCTTAGAAGTCTTAGACTGGTTATACTGCCGCCTACAGATGAAATGAACACTGGCCAGCACATGATTACCCTAACCGCAAACATCATGCCTCAGTTTTTTGTTAGTGTCCTCGTGACAGGATGTTGGTGGCTGCATTCGTTTTTAAATTTTGAAGGCTTTTTCCTATATTTTCACCTGTGGTCTAGCCAGTAAGTCAGTTTTTTCCGCTTTTACAGACCAAGCTGTCCACACAAAGTAGCAGTTACAGGTCTAAAACAAGCCATTTATCACTGCCAGGAGTGCTTACGATGGTTAGCTTTTATTCATTTACAAGTGTGTTCATAAAGTATTCAGACCCCCTTCACTTTTTAAAATTTTGTTATGTTGCTGCTTGATACTTCAGTCATTTAAAGTATTTTTTTTCTCGTTAATCTACTCTTAGTACCCCATAGTGACAAGGTGAAAACAGAATTTTCAGAAATGTCTGTGAACTTATTAAAAATAAAAAAATGAAATATCACTAGAACTCAAGTATTCTGACTCTTTACTCAGTATTGTATTGAAGCACCCTTTGCAGCAATTACAGCCTCAAGTCTTTTTGGGTATGACGCAACAAGCTTTGCACACCTCCTCTCAAGCTGTCAGGATGGATGGGGACCATTAGTGAACAGCCATTTTCAGGTCTCTCCAGAAATATTTAATAGGGTTCAAGTCAGGGATTTGGCTGGGCCACTCTAGTACATTCACAGAGTTGTCACTAAGCCACTCCTGTGTTATCTTGGCTGTGTGCTTAGGCTCAGTCTGAGGTCCTGAGCGCTGTGGAACAGGTTGTCATTGAGGATATATCTGTACTTTGCTCCATTCAGCTTTCCCTCAACCCTGACCAGTCTCCCAATCTCTGCTGCTGAAAATCACCCCCACAACGTGATGCTTCCACCACCATGCATCACTTTTGGGATGGTATTGGGAAGGTGATGAGCGGTGTCTGCTTTCTTCCTGGCGTAATGTTTAGAATTGAGGCCAAACGGTTCAACATTCACTTCATCAGACCAGAGAATCGTGTTCCTCACAGTCTGAGAGTCTTTCAGTTGCTTTTTTTCTAACTCCAAGCAGGCTTTTTTGTGTTTTTGAAGGGCTGCAGGTTGACGAAGGGCTGCAGTGATGGTTTTCCTTGTGGACCTTTGTCCCATTTCCATACAGGATCTCTGGAGCTCAGTCAGAGTGACCATCGGGTTCTTGGTCCCCTCTCTACTAGGGTCCTTCTCCCCTGATTGCTCAGTTTAGCTAGGTGACCAGCTCTAGGAAGAGTCCTGGTTGTGCCAAACTTCTTCTATTTGAGAATTCTGGGGGCCACTGTGTTCTTGAGAACCGTCAGTGCAGTAGATTTGTTTGTTGTTGTGTTTTTTTTTTTTTTTTTTTGTAGCCTTCCCTAGATCTGTGCCTTGCAATAATCATGTCACTGAGCTCTGCAGGCAGTTCCTTTTGACCTCATGGCTTATACTCTTGATACAGTATGCATTGTCAGCAGTAAGGCCTTTTATAGAGAGGTGTGTGTCTTTACAAATTCTGTCCATTCAATTTAATTGGACTCCAGTCAAGGTGTAGAAACATATCAGGAGTGATCAAGAGAAATGGGTGACAACTGGGCTAACTTTCAAGTGTCTTTGCAAATGGTCTGAATACTTAAGCCAATTTGATATTTCATATTTTCCTTTTACATACATTTGCAAATATTTCTAAAATTCTGTTTTCACTTTGCCATTTTGTGGTACTGAGTGTAGATTAATGAATGAAAAAAAATGAATTTAAACAACTGTAGTATCAGACTGCAATATAACAAAGTGAAGGGAGTCTGAATACTTTACATTCACTGTACATAAAACCTCTTTCCTAAAAGGGAAAATAAATGTTCGCTGTAACTGCTTATAAGATGTTAGCTGGAATTTAGCTTCATTTTAGTCAATCTCATCTAAATCTACTAGTCTAATACTATCCTGTCCCCAGACTGACAGTGCTGCTGTCCAAAGGTATCTGCTTTACTACTTCATCCAGAATGCAGACACTCCGAGGCAGGAGGGGTGGATACTGCTCAACCTACCCACGAAGTCCAATATTGAGGAATGGCTTCAGCCGCCGTACTGGCCATGCACAATGACGCGTTTCGCCCCGCCCACCAGGTCCCTGGACCAAGCCCTGGTGGGCAGGGTGCAACACATCAGACTGTGTGGCCAGTACGGTGGCTGAGGCTATTCCTCAACATTGGACTCCTCGGGTCGGTTGAGCAGCATCCCTCCCATCACTTGGATTGACTGACACTGGAATCGCTCGGACTCATGCTCCCCTCTTCTCACTTGCCGGTGGGGTGATCCTTTTCCTTTCATCCATAGCTTGGAGCGACGCCATAAGGTATACTTTTCACTCAAAGAGCGGGAAGTGTATTACTGGCTGGATGACAAGGTGAAAAAAAGAAAAGCCTAAAAAGGGGTTTCATAGCAAATATAATGGCCTCATATGATATCAGCTTATGCTAGGTCCTTCAGCTGGCTCTTTGAGCTGCAGGCATTTCCCAGTTTTATGTTGCCTTTTCTTGGGCCTGTTAGCCTTCTTAACCTTAGACCTCTGTTGGACTGCTTTTCGACATCCTATCAAGGTCCTACCTTTCCTCAGGGCTTGTGCTGCTCCATGTGCTGTCATCCATCTTAGGTCTGCAAAGCATTGTGGGATCCTTTATGCTTTCAGTCCTCTAAAATTCTCTTCCCAGGAGGTGGCGGCTTATCACATTTAAGTCTGCTGTTTGCAGCTATCCATTGCATTCGTGTCCTGTCTGTTGCACAGCAGCAAGCTCCTGTTCAGTTAACTCTTTGCTCTCCTGGATACCGACTCGGCTTTGGCTAAGACGACTCCTGGCTTCTGACCTCAGCTCTGGTGAGACCATTCTTCCTGGCTTCTGACTCCGGCTCTGGCGACCATTCTTCCTGGCTTTGGCTATGAGTCCCGCTGGTTCTCGACTTGATTATCCTGGAAGACGACCTCGGCAGGAGAACTTCTGTCCTACCAAGTCATCCGGTGTTGCTGTCGGACTTGCATAGACTCTTGCCTTGTTTCTGTGTAAATAAACCTACCTTTAATTGCACCTCCTTGTGTGTCTGGCTCCTCGCTTTCTGACACATCCTGACAGTCTAAGAATTCCTGTGTCCATCATGGACACACTGTAAACTCCTGATCTTAATCGTACAGTACACACTGGAGAGCTGTAGAGAGGCCTTGAAATTTTCACTCGCCTGCTCGCCAATGGCGAGTGGAAATTATGGTGGGGGCAAGTGTGTCCCCCTGGAGCGTATTTGCCGCGAGGCAAACAAGGCATTTGCCTAGGGCGGCACTTTTTAGGGGGGTGGCGCAGCCGCAACGCCGCCCCCCTCTTTCCCACGGAAGGGACACTTAGTACAGGGGCAGGCTGTTGTGTCTTACTTGGGTCCGCGACTCCGTGGCCCAGTCCCGCGTTGATCCGGTCCACAAGGCGCTGCTGGAGGAGGGGTAGGGAGGTTGTCAGTGGGTCCGGTGTCTTCATTTCCCTGGATCGCGATGTGTGGGCGGGATGACATGCCACCCCTGTCATCTTGCCACACCTCAACCGCCTATGGCAGCTTGTCCCTACCTCTGCAAGCTCCGCCTCCTCGCCAATGATTGGCCGCCGAAACTGTAGCTCAGGAAAGACACACACGTGGCCAATCACCGACGAGGAGGCAGAGCTTGGAGAGGAGGAGCCGAGCAGCAGCGTGAAGATCAAAGAAGTGAGGGAGTAGCCAGCGCAAGTGAAGAGGAGAGCGGCCAGAGAAGGAAGACAGCTGACCGGTAAGTGTCTGTGCCGTGCAGATGGTGCTGCTGCTGCAGCCAGGTATGCTGGCTGTGGATGGGAGAGGGAGGGAGCGAGCCCAGGCTGGAACAGGGGTCAGCAAGGTAAGTATCATTGGTGTCAGTGGGAGGAATAGTGCCTGATCATTGGTGTCACTGTTACCAATGATGGGGCACTATTCCTCCCACTAGCACCAATGATGGGACACTATTTCCCCCCACTGACACCAACGATAGGGCACTATTCCTCCCCCCACTGACACCAACGATAGGGCACTATTTCTCCCCCCACTGACACCAACGATGGGGCACTATTCCTCCCCCCACTGACACCAACGATGGGGCACTATTCCCCCCCCCCCCACTGACACCAACGATGGGGCACTATTCCCCCCCCCCCACTGACACCAACGATGGGGCACTATTCCCCCCCCCCCCACTGACACCAACGATGGGGCACTATTCCTCCCCCCACTGACACCAACGATGGGACACTATTCCCCCCCCCAACTGACACCAATGATGGGGAATTATTCCCCCCCCCCACTGACACCAATTGTCAGGAATGGACTTGTCAATAATGGTGGTGGGACTCACCTGCCTTGTGGGCTGCAGTACCAGGGATGGCCAGCGGGTGCTCTCAACATCCGAGGTTCACTTCGGCAATTAGCCATCACCTGGGGCTGATTGCAGGTGTATTTAAGGGATGGCCAGACCTGCAGTCTGTGCCTTGGTGTGTGTTTTTCCATGGGCCCCTGTACCTGTAACCTGCATTCCTGTTCCTGTTTCTGCCTGACTTGTTGCCGACCCTGCCTGATCCTAACCTCTGCTGACTTCTCCTGTTTTATCCCTGGCTTGTGACCCTGACCATTCTCTCCGCCTGCTGCTCCTGTACCTACCTGCCCGATAGTTATCTGACCCGGCCATATCTGGAGCCTGTGTTTCCCTGTGTCAGTACACACATCTCTGGTCACACTCTCATCCCTGACACCAATGATAGGTCACTATTCCCCCCCCCCCCCACTGACACCAATCAATGTGTACATGTGTCTACGCGAGTGTATTTCTGTGTATGTACATGTATCTGTGCGTATGCGTGTCTGTATGTGCCTGTGTGTGTATACATGTATCTGTGTATGTGTGTACATGTGTCTCTGTGTGTATGTACATGTTTGTATGTGTGTGTGTACAGGTGTCTCTGTTTGTGTGTGTTTGTTGGTGGCGAGTAACTCTTAAGGCCTGGCTAGTAGCTCAGGACTTGAAATTTTAAGCCCTGGTATATACCATAGTTTTGCAGACTATAACTTTCGCACAGACTAAATAATATGCTATGGTTTGGGTTATTTTTACCAACAAAATGTAGCATAATACATTTTGGCCTACAGTTATGAAGAAAGATTATTTATTTGTGAACTTTTATAACAGAAACTTAGAAAAACGTATTTATTTTTTTTCAAAATTTACTGTATTTTGTTTTATATAGCAAAAAATACAAAACCAATGGTGATTAAATGCTACCAAAAGAAAGCTCTGTCAAAAAAGTGATAATAATTTTATTTGGGTACAGTGAGCATGACATTGTAATTGTCTTTCAAAGACAGCACTGAAAATGTAAAAACGACCTGGGCAGGAGTGAGTGTATGGTGTTGAAGTGCTTCTTTGTGCCCTTCTACCATGTGGATTCATTAAAGGACATTCTACACCCGAGTTATAGTGCTCTACTTACAAACCTGTTCAACCTATGTGCCACACCTTATTCTGTGATTACCCAATGTCCTGATTTGTAGCTAAGGCGAAGACCTGGCGAAAGGGAGTCAATGTAAAAAAAATTGCTCTGTTAAAGTCCTGTGCGACGCTCGGCCATAGAGAGATGATGCATCCCTTTGTATTGAGGTAACAATCATTTCTCTGGTTTTGTATTTTAGCTACAGTTGTGTTCAAAATAATAGCAGTCAGACATCACTAACCTGATCACTCACTGTTTTTGGTAGAAATTATATTTCTATATGGCAAATAGTGTAGTAGAGTAATAGAAATCCAACAGACCCAACAGTCATGACATGCATGCTGCTGATTCTGTGTAATTGAATCATTAATTGAAAGGGGCATGTTCAAAATAATAGCAGTGTGGAGTTCTATTAGTGAGGTCATTCATTCTTTGAAAAACAGGTGGCAATTATTGCCCTTATTTAAGGAAGGAAGGCAGCAAATGTTGTACATGCTGGTTACAGTGCATTTCGCTCTGAAATTCTGAGGAAAATGGGTCGTTCCAGACATTGTTCAGAAGAACAGCGTACCTTGATTAAAAAGTTGATTGGAGAGGGGAAACATATAAAGAAGTGCAGAAAATGATAGGCTGCTCAGCTAAAATGATCACAAATGCTTTAAAATGGCAACCAAAACCTGAAAGACACGAAAGAAAGCGAAAAGCTATTATTCGAATGGATAGAAGAATAGCCAAAATGGCAAGGACTCAGCCAACAATCAGCTCCAGGAAGATCAAAGAAGGTCTAAAGTTACCTGTGAGTACTGTTGCAATTAGAAGACGCCTATGTGAAGCCAAGCTATCTGCAAGAAGCCCCCGCAAAGTCCCACTGTTGAAAAAAAGACGTGCTGAAGAGGTTACAATTTGCCAAAGAGCACATTGACTGGCCTAAAGAGAAATGGCGCAACATTTTGTGGACTGATGAAAGTAAGATTGTTCTTTTTGGGTCTAGTGGCCGGAGACAGTTTGTCAGACGACCCCCAAACACTGAATTCAAGCCACAGTACACTGTGAAGACAGTGAAGCATGGTTGCGCAAGCATCATGATATGGGGATGTTTCTCATACTACGGTGTTGGGCCTATTTATCGCATACCAGGGATCATGGATCAGTTTGAATACATCAGAATACTTGAAGAGGTCATGCTGCCTTATGCTGAAGAGAAAATGCCCTTGAAATGGGTGTTCCAACAAGACAACGACCCCAAACACACCAGTAAACGTGCAACATCTTGGTTCCAGACCAACAAGATTGACGTTATGGAGTGGCCAGCCCCATCCCCTGGGCTGGAATACCTGTTCACAGGTGCCAGAAGTTGGTTGACTCCATGCAACACAGATGTACAGCAGTTTTCAGAAACAGTGCTTATACAACTAAAATATTAAGTGATTCAAACGAAAGCAAAATCTTCAAACATTTTTCAGTTTATATAGAGAATGTTTGCGTTTGTAAAGAAGAATACAAACATTGCTATTTTTTTGAACAGTCTAATATTCACTTTTCTTCAATTTTTTTAGAGGAACAACACAAATTTGATCTATTTTTCTTCATGTTTTGATTTGGAATAGAATGTGTAGAGTTCCCAATGCATTTGTGTGTATGGAAATAAAAGCTATTAGAAGGATTTTTAGCTTTATTCACTTTTTTCAACACACTGCTATTATTTTGAACACAACTGTATATGAATGTAAAAAAATAAAGAATTTAGAAAAAAAAAGCCATGTTTTTCTAAGTTTCTGTTCTAACACTGGTTCAGCAACTGATTTTAGTTCTATTTTAGACACTCATCAAGCTGCCTATTTGAAACAATTCTCTACATTGCTGCACAATTTTCTGCATCTATTACACGTTTTTTCGGACAGCTTACAACCTTAAAGTGATTGTAAACCCTCACTTTGTAAAACAAACCATGCAGTTTAAAATGGAAATGAAAGGCAAATTGTGTATAAATATTTAAAAAAAATATAAACTTTTTTCCCTTTTTCTATAAGTAATCACATATCTTCTATTCTCAGCTGCACAGAGAGGTAGAGGGAGGAGAAATAGCAGCAGACTGAGCTTTCCAGTGAAAGGCTGTGCAAGGGGGTGTGTCAGGGCAAGTCTGATCATTGGAGGAGGGCACATGTGCTCACAGCATAGCTAGCGAACTGACCACGGTTTGTCCTGCT